CCTGCTCCGTGTCTCTCTTCCCACTCCTCTCCCGGCAATTTTGTTCTGCTTATCTATTGTGAGTGTTTTGAGAGTAGAGACTGCACATATGTAGAGTTATTACATCTGACTGTATATATGCAGAGTTATTAGCACAATGGGTAGGAACCTCTATAATAAAAAAATAAATATCTGGTATCTACAGAAAGTTACTCACACTGAAGGGAAAAAATGAATTTGAACTTGGAGTAGACCCTCATTTAGTTTAAATCCTCACTGCTCCCCTGAGCTTAACAGTGCTACACCAGCTGAGGATTTTGCCAGAGAAGTCCAGCTGTAATATCTCAGAGCTGCACTTGCAATACCATCTCTATCATAAAGAAGTATTAATAAACTACATCTAGATTGTTTGGTTTTTTTCATTAAAAACAATGGGAATTTCCTGGCCGTTATGATCTGAGATTTGTCTAGGATAAGAAACAGGCTTGAAAATAGCAGGGGGTGGGGATAGTAGTGACAGTATTTATGCATAGAATAGGACTTTATTCAAAATATATGCGGTACCTTTGTCCGCGCCTCCATTCCATTTGCAAAGTTCAAAGATGTTTTAAATCATTATAGTTATCTTCTGGTTATATGCCGGAGAATCGTGGGACTAAGTACTCACCTGTATAAAGAATTTATTTTGAAGTGGAGTGTGGCCAAAAGGATTTACTTTTTTATATGAGAAGAGAGTTGAGGAATCCCTTTAATAAAATGTCCAGTTGCCAAAAGGGAGTGAAAATTTGAGTTCCTTGAAAATAATGAAACAAACGGGAATGAACCCCACTTGGATTTATACAGAGGAAGTCTTTTTTTAGACTAAGTTGATTGCTTGAGTTAATAGGGTTCTCAAATTAGGCCCAGGCTTGCAAAGAGTCACGCATGGGTCATATAGAGCGTCTTGCGAGATTGCAGTCTTAGATGCATGACATCCATGCTGTGTCTGAGCCTCACGGGATGTAAATTAACGTAACTCAGGCAGCTTTGATGGATCTCTGCCAGTTTTTGTCAGCTGTATATCTGGTCCAATTCTCTATGCAATCTTTCCTTCAAAAATGATTCAAGGAGGAGATGGGGAACATATTTTATGTGTATCCATTAAGGGTGTGAAGCTTCAGGGCAAAATAAACTATTTAGAGTGTACAAAGGGGCAGAGCTGAGGGTAATGGGATTTTAATTACAAGGGACATTTTAAAATGAGTATTTGGCTTATGAGACCCATTAGGATGAGACGTAGCTTTCTCAGGAGAGTGTGTACATATTGTGGATGGTGAAGTCTCGTTCTTGCTTTGGCCATTTAAAACGGAGCTAAGCAAAACAAGAAAGTCGGCTGTAATAAACAGTTCTGCACCGTCAGGGAAACGGCCTTGAAGACCTAGCTGAGATGTGCTTTTCCATCTCCAAAATTTAGGATTTTGTGATTCTCCTTCCCTATTTGAAATCACATAGCTGCAAATATGCCTCAAATTTCTGAAGAATAATCTATATAATATGTCCTAGAGCTCCCTCCCTCTTCTGTGAGAGATGAGTTAATTAAGATGTGGATGATCTATGATATGTTATAGGAGTACATTATCACACCTAAAGAGTTCTGCTGACTTCTGTTGTTTTAAGAGTAATGCAAAAGCCTCCCCGCTCACTTGATTCACTCACACTTCTGCGAGAGAATATTTTGCAGATTACAGGACTCTTTTTATGGGGGTTTGGGATTTTGTTGTTGTTGTTGTTCTTGGTCTTTCGATCATTATGTCACGAGATTCCATAGGGAATGCTATATCTTTAATAGCTAGATGTTTTCTTGAAGACAGATGAGAGGGATAGGGGGATAGCTGCCTATGACTCATGAAGGATTTTCTAAATATATTATGGCTGAACTGTACTGTGAGGATGATTTTTTGTTTTGTTTTATGTCGAGGCATTAATTGCCTTGAATTACCTGAAATAACCATGGCAACAGGGAACTTGTATAACTTACAAGTTTAAAAAAAAAAAACAGCAGGATTGAGAAGTTAGTTATATTTTTCTCTATCAGTATATATAATGCAAGTACATAGTTTGTTTTGCTGCTGTCAGTATTCATTAAGGCAATAAAAAATGCCTCCGTTATTGCTGTCCAGAAGAGACATTAATGATGTGGTCTTCAGCGCAATTGGTACATTGACTAATGCGGCTCTAAACGCATTCTGGTTATAATTGGGGCTGAGTAGTCTTTTGCTTACATCTCTGTAAACTGGGAAGGACTCCAGGGGAGTCGTTTGAACTTGCTGTGCATAAAACTGGTGTGAGTGAGGTACAAATCCGTTCCTTCATAATTTCTATTTTAAACCTGGGGCATCTTTTGAGGGACTGCTCAGTAATGTTTTGTTACCCCTTCTTCAGCTTCCAAACTACATCTCTTTGCATTTACCTTCCATCGCATTTCCATTTCCAAATACAGAATAAATAGTATATCCACCTATATGAATATGTAGACATCAGCAGACAAGGTTCCTTGAGTGAATCTGATATCTTTTATTAGACCAACCCAAATAGTTGGAAAATAATTATTAAGCAAGCTTCCGGGTTCAAAAACCCAGTACTTGGTGTCCTTTTTAAAACCTGACCATTGATTGACTAATTCTCTGTCTGTTTTTGCATGGTAGCTAGCATTAATGTTGCTATATCAAGGACAAGGAAATGTAAGTATACAGAAGGTAAATGAGTTGTCTAATGTTGGTAAAAAGGGTCCCCTGAGTTATAAATCTGGCTCAGTTCCCAATCAGTGCTAGATCATGTAGACTGAAAGAAAACAAGAATTTTAAAAATGTGTCAAGATCTATAAAGTGAAGTTTCCTTCCATAGTTTTGTGCAGCTCATCCCTACATTAACTGCCATAAAACTATATAGTATTTTTTTATCAGGCATTTTAGAAAAGAGATCAGTACCATCCTCAGTTCATCAAACAGTCTATCTGCAATAATCTTGCAGAAGGTAAAATCCTGAACGACAGCTGCATGGCTTCATCGCAGGCAGATCTTGTCTTCCCAACCTCATCTCCTTCTATGACCAGGTAACTCGCCACCTGGACATGAGACAGTAGGTTGACATTGTATACCTTTACTTCCAAAAGGCCTTTCATCTAGTATCCTACAATTTCCTTGCAAGAAAATTGAACGATTGTGGACCTAACTCTGAGACAGTCAGGTGGGTGAGAAACTGGATGCAGGATAGGACCCAGAGAGTCATAGTGAACAGATCTGTGTCATCCTGGCGAGAAGTGCGCAGCAGTGTCCCACAGGGGTCAGTGCTCAGTCCAGTACTTTGCAACCTCTTTATTAACAATTTGGATGCAGGGGTGAAGTCGCAGATGACACCAAGTTATGGGGAAGCGTGGTCACGCTTGAAGATAGGCTAGTTACAGGCAGACCTAGACAAGCTAGCAAGTTGGGCGGATCGAAACCTGATGAAGTTCAACGTCAAGAAATGTGAAGTGCTCCACCTCGGGATGAGCAACCCCCAACACACCTACAGGCTTGGTGGCACCAAACTGACTGGCACCATGAATGAAAGGGACCTGGGGGTAATAATAGACCACAGTATGAATATGAGCCGGCAGTGTGATGCTGTAGCCAGCAGGGAAAATAATACTCTGGCTTACATCAATCAGTGCATCTCCAGCAAAACCAAGGAGGTGACTCTTCCCCTCTACTCAGCACTGGTGAGACTGCAGTTGGAGTACTGCATCCAGTTCTGGGCACCACAGTTTAACAAGGACGTGGACAAGCTTGAGAGAGTCCAGAGAAGAGCTACCTGTGTATGATCAGAGACTTGCACAACAAGCCATACGAGGAAAGGCTGAGGGATCTGGGACTCTTCAGCCTGAAGAAAAGAAGGCTGAGAGGGAACCTGGTAGCACCTTACAGCTACACTAGGGGAGTACAGCAAGGGCTTGGTGAGCAACCGTTCACCAGGGCACCCAAGGGGAAAACCAGGATTAACGGCCACAAACTCCTGGAAGATCATTGCAGGCTCAACATTAGGAAAATCTTCTTCACAGTCAGGGTGTCCAGACTGTGGAATAAGCTCCCTCCAGAGGTGGTGCAATCACCTACCCTGGAAATCTTCAAGACGAGACTGGACGGTCATCTTGCTGGGATCACCTGACCCCCCAGTTGTCTTTCCTGCCTGGTGCAGAGGGCTGGACCCGATGATCTTCCGAGGTCTGTTCCAGCCTTACAATCTATGAATCTATGAACCATTATCACACAGTTATAACTAGGGAAACTGAGGCATAGGGCTGTGATATGACTTACTCAGTTCATCCCACAGGCCAATGACATGGCTAGGACTATCACCCAAGTGTCCTATCAAATATACCATTGTTCTGAATATATCATGTAAAGTATCAATTCAAATTAAAACAAGAAGAGATTTGCAATCTTGTCCATAAACACTTAAAACTAGAAGTGATCTTTTAAATTTTTTTTTCAATTTTTGAATTAAATACATTCTTACTTTACTTCCCTCCCAAAACATTTGTGTAACCATTTCCAATTACTGATGGGTGTTTAGGAAAGAAACATGGATTTAATTGTATAACAATGAGAGAGAGAGAGATCCAGATGCTGCAAGTGGTCACTTCTGCTCAGTTTAATGGAACTATTCTGATTCCTGCCAGATGAAGAAATAAACTGCTTTTTATTTGGATCAATTAATGTGACACTAAGTCAAGGCCTCTGGATGGTTCGCAGGAATGTAATTTATTAGGAAATTTGTAAAGGTGCATGAAAAATAAATTCATATATATATTTATACAAAACTATATTTAAATAATGGTTAGATTGCAAAGTCAAGCACTCAGAAAGTTAGGAAATGTCAAAATTACTCCTGCCAATATACTCCTAATTTGGTTTTCTTGTGCATATGCATGATATTTTATTATTTGATCACTTACCAGGGATTTTTTTAGTTGGATTTTTTTCCCCTTTTTTTCTCTACAGGAACCCTGACTGTCTTGAAGCAAATGTACAAGCTGTACTGAGTACTCCAGTACTGCTGTAACTAGGATCTGGATCGTCAAGTTTCAGTCTATTGGTTACTGGTTTGCTGCACAAAAAGACTGTAGCTGTGTTGCACCCAATCTCATTCACCAGATAGGATGGAGAGGGCTCTGTTCAAAAATCATCATGGGCCCTTGTGCTTTATTTTACTGCCTAATTATCAAACCCCTCTCTGAAGACAGAATTATTAACTGCTAATCATGTCTTGTGGACTTTTCTGTGGTGTTCATCATTTAGAGTATATGAGAATTTCAAGAATCGGTTTATATTATACATCAGAGGCATAAAACCTCAGGGGTTTTATTATGCCTCTGTCCTACATGAGGACCTGCAACAAGGAGCGATTAAAGTCAAAGCCTTCCACCAATGTTTGCTCTCCAACTGAGATCCAAGAGATACAGATGTATGCGTTTTTGGTCTTGGCGGGTTTTTTTAAGAGAACAACTCTCATTTGGTTTCAGTTGCAACTGTGACTATACAAATCTGCATGTCTTCAAATCATATCCCTGGATATCTCCTGCTAGAAAACAGTAGGCAGACTCTGCTTCTCTTGGCTGGGATTCAGTGCCTCAATCAGGACACCAAACTTTCTCCCCCTGCTACCTCTCTTTCCGCCTTCTCTATACACCTTCCAATTTGGCAACAAATGTGGCGCGGGGGTCCTATTAAAAAAAATAGCTTCATTGGGTCCACCATGTCGATTCATCCCCAGGGTCTGATCCAGTTTGGGGGTTTTTTTGTTGTTGAGCAATACAGAACAGAAAATTCAGATCCTAACACACGATCACACAAATACATTGGCGCTTTGCCGTATTTCACTGCTTGACGCCCCTTGTCAAAACATTAGGGGGATGTAGAGCAGCAGTGTGTCATTATGTAACATTTTACACATCATTTTTATGAAGAGTCAAACACATTTTATTCTTGATCTAGAGTTCTGCTAATTAGATGCCGTTGACAGTTTGACTGCAGGCTCCGGTCTGAATGCTGTCATGCTGTTCATGGCTGGCATTTATAGTTGGCTGGTCCATGGAAGGATATGGCTATCCTGTTCAATACAAAAAGTTGAAACTTTCACCACTTGTTCATCGTCTCCAGCTTATTAATTAATGCCTGTATGGTGCTTTGAATGTATGCTGTCAAAAATGCTAAGTCTTATTCAACTGATGAAAAGGCTAGAAAACACTGAGATGGTCATGCTGGAAATATATAAAATCTGCAGGTAGGACAAAACCTCAAACTGTTTTTCACTTCTGCTTTGAAGTCTCTTGAGACCTACATGCTTGTCACAATTATCCTCAGCAGAATTTCACTTCTGGTATAAATAAAACGGTGTGCCTCCTCCCTCCATTAGCTCCATAGCCCAAACTGTGGTCAGCTAAGTGAATCACTATGAGCTGATCTTCAGTGAGTAACTGTGATCCTTCGGGAATTTGCCTGAGTAAAGGTTGAATAAAATTGAAGTAGAGAGAGTGGATTTTTGTCCAATTTGTTAATATATGTAGCCTGGGTAGACCCAAGGGCGTGCCCCATCCACAAATGGAAGGGATGAGTGGTCAGGTGATAGCGCTGTGAGAGGGATCTGGTCGGGTCTGTACCAGTTCCTCTATTCTCTATAGAGCCAGGCCAGGACAAGATGGCTTAACTATTTTTAAAAATGTTAATAAATTTGTTAATAGTTAAGCCATCCTGGCCTGGCCTGGCAAGTAAATAGTTAAGCTACACTAAGGGAGTACATCAAGGGCTTGGTGAGCAACTGTTCACCAGGGCATCCAAGGGGAAAACCAGGAGTTAAATAGTTAAATAGTTTAATAGTTGTAAATAGTTAAGCTATCTTGCCCTGGCCTGATACATAGATGACCAGATCCCTCTCACAGCACTACCACCTGACCACTCATCCCTTCCATTTGTGGAGGGGGCATGCCCTTGTGTGTGTGTGTGTGTGTGTGTGTGTGTGTGTGTGTGTGTGTGTGTGTGTATATGTACATATATGTACATGTACACACACACACACACACAGATACAAGTAAAACCTTCAACTGAGAATAAATATTTACAATTTAACTTTATATACAATGCTGACTTCAATAATCGACAATCTGGGAACAGTACCACCAGCAGTGGCCTCAAACCCAATGCAGGTCAATAATAAGCCCTGAAACAATAAGCGAAAGCAAATGCCAACAGTCCACACCCACCGCAGATAAGCAGGTGGATCCTGAAACAGGTAAGTGCAGGTAAGTACAACAGTATCACAGAATAAACAGCAGGGAACTATTTACCAATTGTGAAAAACCCTTAACCAAGAAGCATTAGATAAGAACTATAGACATACACCCATGCTCATAAAATAGTGAATGCAAAACAACCCAAATATAACAAAATATAAGGTGCAGACTGGCAGAATGTAAGGCACTCTTACACCCTTTGGGGTGCCAATGAGGGTAGGTATACCCACCCCGGTTCTGTGATAGGAACTCTTGCTGTTACTTCCTCTCTTGGGCTGGCTCATGACCCTTACCCCACAGGGCCCCTGTTGACTCCTCTCCCAAGGTTTCCCTCCCCTGTGGCAGACCCCTCTTCCCTGCACCTCATAACTCTTGCCATTACAGGGCTGTCTCCAGCTCCCACCGGGGTGGCCTTCTGCTTCCTGGGCTCTCTCCCCACACCCAGTGGCCCACTCATGGCCCCATGTACCGATCCATGCACTGCAGGGCTCATCCTTCTGCCCAGGTAGGTTGGAGGCCCAAGCTGCCTCATGCAGTGCGGGGGCTCAATCAGCTCTTGGACCCTCTGGCCCAATGCTGCCTGCATCAGCTACTGGGCCACATACCAGGGGATGGGGCTCGAGCCACCCAAAGTGGATCCCAGAGCCCTGATCCACTCCCAGATCCGCTGTATAGTGATCTCTGCACCATGCCCTTGGCTGCTTGCCAAGGGTTACAGACCCGAGCTGCCTTGAGCAGCTCCATGAAGTGATCTCTGCACCGCACCCTGGCTACCTGGCAGGGAATACAGACCCAGATTCCCTCGAGCAGACTCGAGGTCTGTGCACCGCGCGCCACTCCGCACACTGATGCGGCTGTGACATCAGTCCCAGCAAAGGAGTTTTCAGGGCTCTTCTCAGCACTGCTGTGCCTGTTGGGCAGCTCTTCCCCAGCTCTTCTCTGCCCCTTCTTCCTTTTTCTCCATTCCCTCAATGCATCTACTCTGCGTGCCAAGCACATTGTCCTTTTATTCTCTCTGGAGGCCATGTCCCACCAGAGTCTGTTGAACCTACAAAGCGCAGGCTTCACTCAGGTCCGGGGCTTTTTGCACCCTCCCCCTCCTGTGGGCAGGGGTGGAGCAAGCCCCTCCCAACTGTTACCTTATTGGTGGAAATGTTCCACCAATAAGAAGTGCCCTTCTCCAAGCCTGGCATGCCAGGCAAAAGCAAGGAGCTTGTCACATATATATTTCCAAAAAGCCACAAAAAAACAAGCAGTAACTCTGTCTGAAGCACTGGTTACACAGTGGATCCTTCTGAAAAATGCCACCACTTTCACGGAGTTGGGGTACCGTACTTTTAGATGCCTGTTTAAAAAAATGGTCTGAATGACTTATTTGCTGAAATATTCCAAGCCATAAAAATATCCCCATCATAACAAAGCATGGATGTTATAATGATCTTGAATACAATCCTAGGTTTCTCTTTCTCTCTCTCCTATATTTTTTTCAGAAAAACAGTACAGTGAAAGCAGAAGGATTCCCAGCACTCTCTCAAAGATCAGATCACTTATTTAGGCCCCGATGAACCTATTTATATGCTTAATTTAATGCACTCGTTTTGAAATCTTAGCCTTGATCCCCCACTTTTTAAGGGAAGTGTGAAGAAAAATCACAAAAGCCTTCAGAAAACAGAAAGTGAAAAATGCCATTGATTTAGTTTCATTATCTGTGCTCTTTGGGAAGAAAACTCTCATCACATAGCAGCCCCCTAAAGCAAGGTCTGTTGCAGTTGTGAAGTTTTCCCCATAGAAATCTGACATTGGGATTGTAAATAATGCAACACAAGATATAATGACAATGACACATTAGAACTTCTTTTGAATGCATGCTGTGCTTTATGCATGATGTAGAATTCAATGGACAGTGATATGAAGGGGGAAAGAGACTTGTTTGTGTTCAGATTACATAATCCACTCTTCTTTGTTGTTACTGTTTTAGGCATTTTGTCCCAAGATGTTCTGCTTCTCATAAAATGCATTCAGCCTTATCTAGAGCTCTGAAGCCCAAGGCTTTGTTACAATTGTTATAAATAACTTAACAAAAAAAAAATTGGATAGTTCAACAGGAAAACACTGCTTCAGTCATAAATAAATGGCTCGTTTGTATCTATCAAGGAGAAGAATAGCTATCAAAAAGCTTCAATTATAAACTCAACACTTCCAGTTCTTGGAAGAGGGGTTTGTTTGTTTGTTTGCTGCTTTGTTTTTCAAGATAAGTTGTGCGGGTTTCTACATTTTACTGGCTAACATTTATGGCTGAGTCATTCAAGAGCAATGTGGAATTGTGGGTGGCATGAATTTTACACAGCCAACTTGAACCGACTTCCAAAGGGGCCTGAAAAGACCTAAGTGATAATCATAACAATGTTTGAATTTAGACGCTTATAAATGGAGATAAGAGCAGTCACAGGAGGAGGAACTGTGATATCTAAAAGGAATAATTTAGGTTATAGCTATATAACCTAAACCTAATAAGGCAGTGTTGCGCTAAGGCAGTCCCCATGCTAGATCCTGAACCAGAAACAGCATAGCTCTACAGGTTTCCCTCGCTTTATGCGAGTTCTGCATGTGTAAATTCGCTCTTATGCGATAATGATTTTTTGGTATAAAAACGGTTATATGCGAGGTAAATTCGCTCTTATGCAATCAGCGTGGTGGAAGCCCGTCACTCAGAGCAAGTGGTGCCTGTGCTTCTGGAGCTGCAGCTGCCCTGGGAGCGGCATGATGCCATGTGCATCCCACCACTGGGCAGAGAGGGGGCACGGCGCAACCCAGCAGTGCCACTCTCAGGGCAGCTGCAGCTGGGCACAAAGCGCAGCAGCAACGGCCTGTCTGCTGTTGGTGAGTACCAAAATCGTCTTATAAAAGTGGTAGAAATGGGCCTGGGGATCAGTACA